GCCCCACACAATCTCCCATAGCAGAATGCCGCCCCTCACTCCCCTTCCCGATGTTGCCACGCACGTTGCACCTGCAACCTGGCCCCGCCCTAGCCGGCTCCGAGCATCTCAACTTCGACTGTCATCAACCTAGATGGGTCGCCGCAATCCGCTACCCCATCCCGTCCCACATCATTTTCCACCGTGCCCAATCTTGCATTCCATGTCATGCACCTCCGTGTTGCATGTCACGATGTGCGCCGTACCACCATGCCCTGGCCCCCGGATGCAACATGAGGATGACATGTCGGGCAGGTGAGCAAATAAGGGAAGGGATGAATGGAAGGAGCCACGGACTAAATAATCATGCACTTTACAGTGAAGTGCATGTGCTAAAAACATCAAGATTTCTTTTCGGTGTACTTCACATCTTAACGTATTTCTTCATGAAACTTCACTCACGTGTAGACTATATCCCTGTATAGGAATGTGCTTTTTTTTCTATAAAAAGTTGGGTGCCCTTCAATAGCAATTTCTGGATATTAGGGTGCTTAAAATCAGACAACATCAGCAGCACATAAAGCCAGCATGAAGTCTGGTAGTGCATTTCTGGAGATGCTTTAAGACAACAGCAGCACATAAAACCAGCATGAAGTCTGGTAATGCATTTCAAGTATTTGAAACATGGCAGACTGCTTAAAATCTGTTCAGAAAATTACACCATTGTTTCAGCTTAAGGTTGCTGTCGGATTTCTCAGGCCAAGCAGCATTGTGCGCTGGACATCTTGTAGAAACTAGAAACCTGAAAGTGCAACGTAATGACAAGCAACTGATGGAGCAAAAGAGGCCATCCAATCCAAGGGAGGAGGAGTCTCCTTGTACAAGTTGCAGAATCACTCAGAGACGAAACGAAGTGCCCCAGAAAGCTAAGTTCAGTGCTAGAGGCTCTCTTCTTGTCATAACCGTCACTGGAAGAAACGCCAGCAGCTGATGTACCCTGCCAAAAATGAATATGGATCAGAATATCAAATACAAGAAGCGCTCGCAACTTTCGTCCCATGTGAGGCAGCATGCAGAATTCTGATGAAAAATAAGGAGACATATCAGATATCGGTGTTCCTCTCTAACAGAAAACACGGGACACAATGTTGCTAAATTTCAAGACAGGAATCAAATGCAGAACAATACAGACGAAAATGAAAATTTGTGACCGAATAATCTTCTAGGCTACTCACAAAATTCTTTGTTTTAGAACTCTAGCTTGTAACTTAATCTACTGTTCATAGGTATATGGAATAGAACAACAAGAAGAAGAAGAAACCAGTGAATAGTTACTTATGCACAACCAAAGTAAAATAATTCCATGCTCAATTAGCACAACTATGTTCATCGCTCAGCATGTACAAAATATTCCACCAAACATGAAACTGAAAATGCATGCAAGAAAATGGGCAGACAGTAGGCTAAGTTGCTTAGTTCTGAAGATAAGTTAATAGGCTTCGTAATTACAGCAAATGAGACCAGGAGGCCACAACAGAAACAAGAAACAAGAACTATAAAGGTTGTTGCTGAAAACATGGATAATTTAGAAGTTAGAACCCATGCAAAAGTTCACCTGATCCAACATTGTAATACTAGAGATGTTATCCATTGCCTGCTTCACGACCTATACAGAAGACAACTTTGTCAAATATGGCATATGTCACCAACAATAGTAAATAATGTTAGTACATCGACAAATGCAAGCACACTGTCACACTGTACCTTAATCATGTGTTTTATCTTACTTAAACGAGCCATTAACTTCTGCTGCTCCCGATTCTGCTCCACCCAATTAAGCCTCCGGACAGACAATGGCTATTAGATAATTGCAAGAAACTTGTTAACGCCATAGTTACAATGCACTTCAAATATTATTATGCATTTGGCCTCAGATAATTATTAATGTTTTGAACTAACACAGAAAAAGGTGTGATAACATGTGTTCTATCATTTGAGGAGAGAATTACCTGATCTGGATTATCTGGTTTGCGCTGCAACAGCTGATTGAGTTCCGTGAGTACATGTTCTGCAATGTTATATTGCTTATTCTGCAAAAACTTGCACATTTTACTCGATGTTTCTGTGAGTTCCTACAAAATAGCAAATTAGCAGTTTGTCAAATCTTAAAATAATAATAAATATTCATCAAGGCTTAATAATAACAGTCTGGCACACATACAAGTAAGTCATGCTCAAATTTGTGGATCTGGCTCCGCACATCCGCATCCTTGCCAAGCATACACTTCCATGTCTCCCACTTCTTCAATTCCCAGCCTTCCCGCTGTTTTGGTCTACGTACAATGCCAGCCTTCTTGTAGACATCTAAACGTACAAGTGACTTCACACAAATGTAGGATTGCATGTTGCATGGCTTGCGGGGACTGAAATCCAACAGGTGTACCCACTTACTCGAGTGAATTGCGAAAAACCACCACATTAAAGCGTAGGTTTGCAGAAAAGACTCTTCTACGAATTTGTGCCAGAAAACACTGATTTTAGTCTTAATCTTTTGCAAAAAACACTGATCAACCGTTTTATGCATTTTAACCTCGATTATGACATGTGGGGCCCTGGTATTTTTGCATAGTCACCCTTCAGGTAAAAGTACAAAACGCAATCAGCTCCTTGGTGAATTTGGGCTGCC